GCTTGTGTTCCTGCTCTCGCTCTCTCTCTCTCTGTCAAATAAATAAATAAAATCTTAAAAAAAAAAAGAAATTCAGGTGCAAGAGATTGTCCTTTTGGACCCAAAACACTGTTGCAGGCACTTTTGATAACAGAGGTAAATGGGTGTTTCTGGGATACGTAAAATCAGATTAGAGAAAATGTCTGGTGGTGTTCAAGTGGGTAGACACAGCTTTTGGGGAAGAACACAGCTTTACCCTGTGACGCTAAACATGCCTGAGGCCAATGTTCATGTCAGTCCACAGTAAACTCAGTAAATGCTAACATTATTATGTGCGTAACACCAGGTAATGGACAGCTTCATTAATATGGTACTTAGATGCACATTTAGAACACATAAATAATTATAAAAATTACTTATTATTATAAAATAAAATAGCAGTAATTATAAAATAAAATAGCAGATACAACAGTAAGAGAGTACTTCAGAAATTTAGGAGGAAGAGGTCACATTCTGCTGGAATCATGGAGATGGTATTTGAAATGGGTTTTACAGATGGGGTAGGAGTTCACTGGAAAGAGACGGAAGGGAGGCAGGGAGGTGAGTGAGGGAAGGATGACTCATAAGCAAGTACATGCAGGTATACAGGCCTAGGAGAAGTTCAAGAAACAGGGAGTGATTCAGCTGGCTAACAGCTGTAGAGAATTAGAGGGGGAAAGGTTAAAAGTTCAGCTACGCCAGGCTTCATTGTCAGTATGAAGAGAGTCTGGTGTCTGGATTCAGTCGGTAATGGATGAAGAACAGGGTACACTGGAAATAAGACTGAGGGGTGCTATATTTTTCGCAGTTTGATCTGGAATTCATTGTGCAGAATGTAGTGAAATTTGTCTTCAAGCATTTTCTTCACAGGATAGTTATTCCTTGGAACCCTGAACACCTACAATCACACGTGACTCACCTCTCTGAACGAGGTAGGCCTGCTGGTCGGGGTCACTGGTTCTCGCCCCATGACGGCTCTGCATCTCCATCAAGGACTGCCTGCTGGGATGAAAAGCAACACGATAGTGATGTTCTACGACAACATTTAGCAGACATTCAACAGCAGGATGGGGAAAAAAGAGCTGAAAAAAAATGCAAGGTTCATAAAAACCAGAACTTAAGGATTAACTTGAATTTTAAATATTATTGGCACTAGGACACAGAGTAGTGAAAGAAACTAACAATTAGGATTAAAAAAATCAATCAGGAAATAACCACACTGTCAACTGATAAGGGAATGGATTAGAAAAAAGTGGCGTATTTCTAGAACAAGACACTATAGAGTAATTAAAGAGAATGAAATAAAACTGCATATATATATATAGACACACACCTCCAGAATTCAAAATCACAGTGTTAGATAAAATAAGCTGCAGAACAATACCTAGTGACCATTTCGTAACTTACACACAGAGAAATTAATATTATGCTGTTTCAAGATATGACATAGATATTATATTGATACTATGTAAAAGTATAGAACAGATGGGGACGTTACTCCCTCCAAACTCCAGCAGTATGGGGCAAAGAGAGAGAAACATAATGAGGGGTGGGGAACAGAGGAGGCTCCAACTTCGCCCTTTTTCCTTTTGATAAAATATCCATGATGCAAATAAATGTATGTCACTGTCAATTCTGTGCGGAGTACATCGTGGTATGTGCTATTTTATTCCCTGTATTTTTCTATTTCTATTTCTCTATGTTTCAATTTTTTCTCAAAATGGAAATTTAAAAGACAGAAGTAATTTTAGCCATATTTTCTTTTAAAACATATTACAGAATTGTTTAAAGTGTTTAAGACTATATACCCCTGACAACAGCAGACAGGACTTCGCAACACACAAGGTCAAAGTTTTTACAGCATGTCCAAGAGCAAAGAACTCATCACGTTCCCACAAGATGTGGCCAAGCCTCGTGGTAAGTCACGCTGAGTGTCAGGGACACAATCAAGCGAAGTGTGCTCAGCGTGATTCCTACAGCTCAACTTAGGGAGCACCTCTGACAGGCCCCCTGTGCTCGGCCTGTGCCCAGGGCTCCAGGTGTGTGCTCCGAGCCTTCCCGAGCCTTCCTAAGCCTCACCTGCCTCCATCTTCAAAAGCATTATTCTCTTTCAGCAGGATTGCCAGCTGCAGGGCCAGTTGCTCCTTTTCTTCGTGTATCTTCTCTCTTGCTGCTCTTTCAGCATGAAAGTCCGAACAGTAAACCTCCATCTGGTAGAAGGGAAGAGACAGAAGTTACTACACAGATGTACGTGGATTCTCTATGGCCCAACGGGTGACAGGGTGCAGGGGGAGTGCTCCCTCCTGTGATTCCCTCGTAAGGAACAGGGGCGCACAGTGCTGCTGGAAACCAGTGGCGACCGTGACTTCCAACCACCTTCAGACAGAAGACAAGTTGTGTGTGTGTGTGTGTGTGTGTGTGCGCGCGCGCACACACTCACACTTTAGACAATCAGAACCTGACAATGACATTGATATAGGTGGTTTAAACACTGCACATAACATTCGTTCAGTAAAATTCTGTGGTCTTTTTAAAAAAATCATATTCAGGATTAGCTTAATATAGTAAATGGTTTATTTACTGTCAGGTATATTTACGAAGGCTGGCCTTAAATTAAATTTTAAATAATAATAATAAATAGATGCTATTCATTGAATTCCAAACATATACAAGGTCCTATGTTGGATGCCTATATTCCTACCTTATTGCACGTGTTGTAATGAGCACTGGGTGTTACATGCAAACAATGAATCATGGAACACTACATCAAAAACTAATGATGTAATGTATGGTGACTAACATAATAAAAAATAAATCCTGCGAATGTAGAATTGCTATGCTCATTTTACATTCATAAGTGTAACAGCTCTCAGTCCGGGGTAATTTAGGTAAGTGGTCAAACCAGCACGTGAACCAAGACTGAAGCCCATATTCTATGCCAGTCCTCACGGTGGTAGCCAGCCTCCAAGACAGCTCCAGGGATGCTCACCTTTTCGTATTCAAACCCTTATGTGGTCCCCTTCCACAACGAAGAGAGCCAACCCGTGGAACCACTAGGATATTGCAGAAATGATGGTGTATGGCTTCTGCCTTGTTCTCTCCTGGGTCACCTGCTGTGGGGGAAGCTCGCTGCCATGTCATGAGGGTATGCAAGATGCTGTGTGGGGAGCCCCACAGGGTGAGGAACTCAGGCCTCCCGCCCACAGCCCTGTGAGTGAGCCGGCTTGGAAGTGGATCTTCCGGTCCATCTTGGGCGCAGCCTCATGAGGGGCCCTGAGCCAGAAGCACCCTGCTAAGCTGCTCCTGAATGCCTGACCCACAGAAACCCGAAGATGACAAATGCTTGTTGCTGCAGCTGCTAAAATGGAGGATAATTTCTTACCTAGAAATATATAAATATTATGCCGTGATAGTAATTTCTTCACTGTTACAAAATTCTAAAGTAAGGATGAACTCCTTAATAGTGAAATGAACATTACTCTAAGACCAGTTTTTAACTTTCTATATTTAAAATTAGGGTTTTCCCCCTAAATTTCATGGTTCTAGGATACAAATATTTATCTTTCTTACTTTTGAAAGTAAAATTAAATAAAAAAATATTCTATCACAGTTTTAGTTACCCCCCCCAAAACAAACAAATCACACAACTCTGTGATAAAAAGGTCATTTTAAGGGACTTCCTGCCATTCGTGAACATTTTATGTGACCACTGATGCATCATGGGAATTTTTGAGTCAGATCTCAATTTGAGTTATAGTCTTACTTCTATCACTGATCAGCTTTGAGCCAGTCAGACCCGGGTCGTTCTGTCCATTCCTACATGCCCTGTGACATCAGTGGCTCACGTTTCAGGCTCAAAAAGAAGTGGCTGAATGAATAAACCAGAGTATCTATCAAAACTCAACAAATGTCCATGTACAGAAGGACAAAGGACATGACAACAGTATCATGAGGTACCCAAACAAACGAACGCTATAAAGAGCTTGGGTTGAAATTCTCTTCCTATAGAAATAAAACTCAAGACTCTAAGTCCAGTCAACTTAGAACTTAGAACTCCTCTGGAGTTCATATTTGAGTAATGAGTATGTATGTGGTCACTGAGAAATAATAAACTGTTGACTTTGTTATGTTAAAAATAATTTATCTTTATCAGACTGGCAAACATTTAAAAGAATGCTACAAGGAGGTGGGGAAATAGACGTTCTCTTCTCCTTCGGTGAGAGGATAATTTTGGTTATGCATTCTTGGAAGACAACTTGTTAATATTTATTTAACTTAAAGACAGGCACACCCAATAACCCAACCATTCCATGTCTACATCTCACTATAGATTCCACAAGTGCACAGAGACATACATACAAGAATGTTCAGTTCAGCATTGCTGATAATAGCAAAAATATTGGTACAACCTATACATCCATTAATAGAGGGCTGGTTAAATCTATCATGGTAATGCACACTTTGGAATACCATACCACTGTTCAAAAAATAACAAATGGCTATGAGTACTAATATGGAGAGAAGTCCAAGATACATCATGACTGAAAAGTTGTAGTATAAAAGGTACACTGCAATCCCACTTTTAATTAAGCAAACAAACAAAATAACAAGAGACAAAGGTTTCCCCCCCTTTTTCTGTGGTTTTACATCTCAGGCAGGATGCATTCCCACTGATAAACTTTCTGCAAGTCCTCCACCCACCAGGAGCAAGAGTGGGGCCAACCAGTAACAATAAGCCACGGTACACAAATTCTTCCAGAGTAAAGGAAGGAATGTGCCTCAACTTGTTTTCATGAGGCCAGTAAAACCTTGATCTCAAAACCTCACAACGACATTAGCAAAAGGAAAATTCTAGGCCAATCTTATTCAAGAATATAGATACAAAAGTCCTAAGTAAAATATGAACAAACCAAATCCAGCAATATGTACGAAGGGTAATTCAAGAAATGTAAAGTTTGTTTAATATTTAAAAATCAATGTGATTCACCACTTTAACAAATTAAAGGGAAAAGGAATGTATTTATCCAATTATATCATTACTGGAAGAAAAAAACTTTCCCTAAATAAAATTCAACATCCACTCGAAATTTTGGCACACAAGGAAGAAAAGGGAATTTCCTTGATTTGATAAGTGATATCTACAAAGCCTATAGCAAACACCATACACCTAGCAGTAAAATGTTAAAATCACTGCCTCTGAGACTGGGAGCAAGGCAAGGCTATCTGCCATCTGCACTGTTACACAACACTGTTTGAGGGACCCAGTCAGTGTAATAAGGCAAGAAAAAGAAATAAAACATAGGAAGAACCAGAAAGGAAAAAACCCAAAACTGTCACTATTTAAATGATATGATTATGAATGTAAAGAGGTCGAAAGAATATTCAGAGATATTATTAAAATTAAAATGTGAATTGAGCAAGTCTACTGCATACAAAATCAATATATAAAAATCAATTGTATTTCTATATAATAGCAGCTGTTAAAAAATGAAGATTTAAAAAAGGTGCTATTTATAACAGTATCATAAAAATAGAGAGTATCTATGAATAACCTATTAAAAGATGAGCAAAATCCTTACTAAGAAGATTAAAAATATTACTTAGAAGAATTAAAGAAGATACGCCATGTTCATGCATTGGAAGAGTCACTGTTGTAAAGATGTCGGTTACCTCCAAATTGATTTTTATCTATTTAATATAATTCAAGTCAAAGCTCCAGGAGGTTTTTCTGTGTGTGTGTGTGTGCATGTGTGTGTGTGTGTGTGTGTGTGTGTGTAAAATACCAAGTGGATGCTAAAATTAAAATGACAATGAAAAAGGGAAAGAAAATCTAAGGTCCTCTGGACAAGGATCAATGAGGTAGGAAAACTTACTCTACCAGGTATCAAAATTTTTTTGCTTCATAGTAAGTCAAGACCGTACGGTACCAGAGCAAGGATACAAAAATAGCTCAATGGAACAGTAGAGAGTCCAGAAATAGACCCATGGACACCTGAACACAAGATACAACAAAGAAGGCAGCACATTACTTAAGATGACACTTAACATAAATGGTGCCAAGTCAACATGATAAAAAAATAAGTCTTCACTCTTACCTCACTCTATAAAGAAAAACTAATTCCAGACGGTTTCTAGATATTAATGTAAAAGGCAAAACAGTAAAATTTTTAGAAGACAACATGGGAGAGTATCTTCATGGCCTTGAGGTAGTGAAAGTTTTTTAACAGGACACAAAAAGTACGAATTGTAAGTGTAAAGACTGACAATGTAGACTACATTAAAATAAAGAACTTCTGTTCATCAAAAGACACTTTTATGGGCGTGAAAAGACAAATCACGGAGCCAAGAAATCTGCAACAAATATAACTGTCAAGGGCTTGTGTCTGGAGTGTATAAAAAACTCATAAAATCAAGACAGCAAACCAGAAGAAAAATGGGCAAAGACGTCTTCAGGGACTTCACAAAAGGGAGCACCAAGAAGACTAGTTAACATTTGAGAAAGTACTCAGTCTCATTAGTCATCAGGGAAAGCACATTAAATGAGACACCATTATATGCCCACCAGAATGCTTACAAATGAAAGTAAAAATACTGATAATACAAGGATGGGTAAGGATGTCGAGCAACAGGGACTCTGTTGATGGGAGTGAAAACTGGTACAACCACTTTGGAAAAGTGTTGGCAACATCCACGAACACTGAGTAACACGCATACTCTAGGAACCAGCAATTCCACTGCTAACTGGGTATGCACCCAACAGAAAGGAACACACAGGCCAACAAAGAGAGACATCCACAAGAATGTCAGAACAACCTCAATCATAATGCCCCAAACTGAAAATAATCCAACTACCTATCAACCATAGAATGGATACATTCATTGAGCCCTACCCTTAAAAGTTTGGTGCACTTTCCACATGTGATATGCTTCAATAAAAAATGTTTTAAAATATATTGGTGGAAATTATAAAAAATCCCCAAAAATATATTTTGAACACCATCACTTTCCCATAGGAGAACATAATCAGGGTTGGCCTCACCCAGTTCATGTTTCAGAACGTAGCTTACCTGAGCCCGAAGAATAGTCATGGTTTCCAGGTCCTCCTCCTGCTTGGCGATGGTCTGCTTCATCTCATCCATCTGAAGCTGCTTGGAAGCCAGGGCCTTCTCTGCCAGTTCCAGCTTTTCGCTTAGTTCTTGTAGTACCACCTTATCCACTTTTTCTGACTGAAAGACATAAGATCATTCTAGAAATGGCTGTGAAATAACTCAACCTAATTTATTATTTTTTTTTAAGATTTATTTAAGTGAGACAGCGTGCATGAGCAGGGGTGGGGAGGGGCAGAGGGAGAGGGAGAGTCTCAAGCAGGCCTAACTGACGATGCCCCCCCGGCGCCCCTAATTCAACCTATTTTAGTAAAACATTAAATGAAGTTTTATTTTTTTAAATGCCTGGCTCTAAACTGTTCTGTTAATTAGCAATGATAACTTAAACTCAGAAAGTTTTATTCATTTAACTTATAGTTTGTAAATTATAATTTCTTAATTTAAAACAATTAAAAAAAAACACTGAAATAAGGGAAATAATGACAAACCCTGATCTCAGTGAGGTTGTAACTTGCTGATACTGTTATTTTTCCCACTGATATTACTCTTATATGGTGAAGTCAGTGGAAAAGAAAAAACATGTTTAAATTAAAAACTGATCACCTCACACCTGTCAGATGACTAGTATCAAAAAGACAACAACAAGTGTTGGCGAGGACGTGCACAAGAAAAAGGAACCCTGGTGCACGAGAAAAAGGAACCCTTGTGTGCTGTTGGTGGGAATGCAAACTGGGGCAGCCACTCTGGAAAACAGTATGGAGGTTCCTCAAAAAGTTAAAAATAGAACTACCCTATGATCCGGCAAATCCCACTTCCCAGTATTTATCCAGAGAAAATGAAAATACTAATTCAAAAAGATATCTCCACTCCTACGTTTATTACAGCAGTATTTACAATAGCTACCTATTTAGGAAGCAACCTAAATGTCCATCAAATAGCTGAATGGATAAAGAAGATGTGATCTATATTTGTACAAACACACACACATACACACACAGACAAGAATATTACTCAGCCATAAAAGACTGAAATCTTGCCATTTGTGACAATATGCATGGACCTAGAAGGTATTATGCTAAGTGAAATAAGTCAGAGAAACAGACAAATACCATATGATTTCACTTATGTGGAATCTAAAAAACAAAACAAATGAACAAACAGAAACAAGCTTATAAATACAGAGAATGAACCGGTGGTTGCCAGAGGAGAGGGACATAGGGGGATGAAGTGGATCAAGAGGTATAAACAAGTCAAGGGATGTACAGTACAGCACAGGGAATACAGCTGACCCTCGAACAATGCAGGGGTCAGAGGCACTGAACCCCTGCAGAGTCGCAAATCCACATGTAACTTTTGACTCCCCAGAAACTTAACTAGTAACAGCCTATGGTTGACTGGAAGCCTTACCAATAATTTAGTGGATTAACACATATTTTGTATGTTATATGTATTATATACTGTGCTCTTACAATTAAGTAAGCTAGAAAAAATATGTTATTAAGAAAAATCATAAGGAAGAAAAAAACACATATAGTTCTGTATTTTAAAAAATCTGCAATATTAAGTGGACCCGTGCAAACCCTTTTTGTTCAAGGGTCAACTGTACAGTCAATACTATTGTAATGACTTTGTATGGTGACAGATAGTAACTACAGTTATGAGCGTTTCATAATGTATATAAATATCGGATCACTATGTTGGACACTGAAAACTAATATGACACTGTATGTCAACTCTACTTCAATTAAAAATAAATAAGTAAATAAATAATGAAAAAAATTTACAAGTCCTAGAGAAGAACAATATTCTATTAAAAAAAAAAAGGAAGAAAGAAAAACAGGGGTGTCTGGGTGGCTCAGTCGGTTAAGCGTCTGACTCTTGGTTTCGGCTCAGTTAATGATCTCATGGTTGTGGGAGCAAGCCGTGTCCTCAGGCTCCACGCTCAGTGGGGAGTCTGCTTGAAAGATTCTCTTCCTCTGACCCTCCCCCTGCTTGTGTGCACCTTCTCTCTCTCTCAAAATAAATAAAACTTAAAAAAACAAAAAAAACCCAAAGAGTACATTTATAAGCATATAAACTCAAAGACCCCTTCTAATTCAAAGCTTCCATGATCTTTACTTACTTCACTTGGCTAAAGCCAAGTGAAACTGACAAATTAAATTGTGAGCTATTTAAAGTGAACAATGTGACAATTTGATACGCGTACACAGCGGGAGAGGGCTCCCCCCACCAGGTTAATGAACACGCCTATCACCTCACACATCTACCCATTTTTTTTTTTAATTCTTTTTTTTTATTTATTTATTTGCAAGAGAATGAGAGACAGAGAGCATGAGAGGGAGGAGGGTCAGAGGGAGAAGCAGACTCCCTGCTGAGCAGGGAGCCTGATGTGGGACTCGATCCCGGGACTCCAGGATCATGACCTGAGCCAAAGGCAGTCGCTTAACCAACTGAGCCACCCAGGCGCCCACACATCTACCCATTTTTAAACTGCCACACCATGCTGGTGTTATATTAATGTAAGCTGCAGTCCGGGAGTCCAGGGTCTCAAGGTCACTGACAGGAGCCAGCTAGCCCTGTAACAGCTCCCTGGAGACAACCCCACCAGTGGCCACCCACAGTCTCGCTGTGCCCTGCTCACGTCGGAGCCCATGCTGGGAGCTCTCCTATAAACCCACTCGCTGTTAGAAATGCTAAAAGCTGGGGTGCCCCGGTGGCTCAGTCAGTTAAGCGTCTGACTCTTGGTTTCGGCTCAGGTCATGATCTCAGGGTCGTAGGATTGAGCCCCTAACAGGCTCCGTGCTCATCAGGGAGTCTGCTTGAGATTCTCTCTCTCCCTCTCCCTCTGCCCCGCCCCACCCTGCCCTCTTTCTCTCTCAAATAATAAATCTTAAAAAAAAAAAACAAAAAAAAGAAATGCTAAAAGCTTACTCCCCAACCCATAGAACATTAGCACCATCTCTGCACACAAGGCACATTATACACAGGTAGAACATCAGAAGTTTTACCCACTTAGACACAAGAAATCATTTATAAACTCAAGAACAACCTCTGAAACCATACTTAGTTATGGATTAACACAACTACTTTACATATAAAAAATGTTTATAGTTTCTGTTCACTACAAGGCTACGAAAGTCATTTTTTTTCTGAGTACCTCTTTCCTTTTCAGTTCCTCGAGTGATTTCAATGAATTATTGTATTCTTGAAGAAGCTTGTTATGTGTCAACTGGAGAGTGGCTAACTTGGACCTATTTAAAAAGAAATTAAGAAATGGAATCTTGGGGGAAAATATAAAAACTTAGTCTTGCCTTCCCACCTTCTTCTGAACACTTGACTAGCAAAATCTTCTCTCCTACCTTTACCAGCTCACCACCTGCTAGCATTTTCTTACTCTCAAAGAAAACAATCTTTCCAAAAAAAAAAAAATCAAGATAGATTACAAGTAACTTTAATCATTTTGTTATAATAGAACAAATTTTATCTCCTCGGAGAAGTCTCCTGGTACTCCTTCAAATACATAAAAGAGAAAAATTTTAAATTTATTCTTAAATCCTAATTCCAATCTTATAAAAGTGCTCTTCTACCTTCTTCTAGCAAGTGGTCATTCAGTTGTGGCATACTCACTTTTCCTCTTCAGTTTTAGCTTGCTCCATTTTGATTTCTGATCGCATGCTTTCCACTTGTAGCTCCAACTTTTTGTTGTTATAAACAAGCTCTTGCTTTTCATTCAGCTCTGATGGGGTTGCAGAATTTTTCCTTTCAAGGGCCTGACATCTAGGAAAGATCAAAATTTCATGAGGATAAACAACGTTCCTTCATTTCTCAGTGGCTTTTAAACCAATCCCAAGATTATGTAGCAAATACAAAGAAATTTTGGATTGCATTTTTCAAGGATTTAATAATGTAAAGTAAAATATTTTATCCTTCTTGCTTCTTTACTAGAAGCAAGTAATATTTCTAAACCCTCATGACTAAACACTAAAAAAACAGATCTTTTTTTTGTAAAAGAAATTTACATATTTCTGAACCCTTATGCCTAATATAAAAAAAACTACAGATCTAAGACCACACAAGCTATGGAATAACTGTCTTAAGCAGTCATGCAAGTATATTTTTGTTCTTCAGACACAGACCAAAATAGTAATTGGCTAAAGGTGCTTTTCATATAGCGATCCATGGATATCTTCAATACTTTAAAAAGTTTGGGTTCTGTTAAGCATAAAGAATATGACTTCTGACAAAGATTTAATAAGGGAAAGGTAAGTGTCCTAAGTTTTTTTTTTTTTTTAAAGATTTTATTTATTTATTTGAGACAGAGAGAATGAGAGACAGAGAGCACGAGAGGGAGGAGGGTCAGAGGGAGAAGCAGGCTCCCCGCCGAGCAGGGAGCCTGATGCGGGACTCGATCCCGGGACTCCAGGATCATGACCTGAGCCGAAGGCAGTCGCTTAACCAACTGAGCCACCCAGGCGCCCCTAAGTTTTCTTAAATATCAAAAAGAGAATTTCAATATAATAATAGCAAATATGAACCAATGGTTGCTATACGCAAGGCATTAACACCAAGCATGGTAAACATCTCAATACAACATTATGAAGTAGGGATAATGACACACACTGTACAAATGATAAAAGTTAGGGCTCAGAGAGGTTAAATAAATAACTTGCCCAAGGCAATACCACGAATAAGTTCAGATCCATAGTTCAACTAAGTCTGTTTGTCCAAAGTCCTTGGCTTTAGCTGCTGTGCTGTGCCAGATTTCCATGTCACCGTGTAGCCTTGGTAAGTGTGAACTCTAAGGCAAAATACACTCATGTATTGTGCTGGATACATGTTTGCCAACTAATCCAAAAGAATAACATTTTTAAATTTCGGGTAACTTGCTACACCAAGAAAAACAAGCAAATGCGAAGTTCTCAATTTAAATATTAGCCTTCATAATTGATTGAAAATGAATTTTTTTTCTCAATAAAGCTCACTCAAGTTCTTTCTCCTTGCAGCTTTCATTTATGTTTGCTTACATCCATACTGTCAGCTCAGGTTAAGTCCCAGGAAATCTGGCTTACTGCTTTTTTACAGGTCCTCACATAGGCTATGGTACATGTAACAAACATCCCTGAACAGCAGAATCAGATGTTCCTGGGCCCCATGCCCCCATATTACAAGTATATTATATTTATAAATGAACAGGTACATTAATCTCGACATTAGTGTTTGCTGAATTCATACTTTAATTAGGTTTCTCTTTTTCTTCTAGTAACATAACAAAACTGTTTTTACATAGTAATATATTTCTTAAAAATGTCCATTTTCTAAAGGAAAATAGAATTCATCTCTCATTCTTACTTCTCTTGAAGTCTCTTCTTCATCAGCTCAGCCTCATTGAGTTTTGTATGAGCCTCTTGAAGCTCCTTAAACAGAGTTGTCACCTGAAGGTTCAACGTCTCCACTTCACTTCCAACCTGTCATTCAGGAAATTCCAAACACGCACATGTGATTCGGACCAGAGAAATGAACTTCTTTGTGAGAAAACAGTGTGAACCATCGGTGTCCCACTAAGACTGGTGAGTTGATTAAACTTTTGACAATTAATGCCGTAAATATCTTCTTTGAAAAGAAATGTTTTAGATACAACTGTTTCCTTGTATGTCTTTATTTACTAATTATATATAACATTTTATATTCCATGATATGTAATTTATATGTATAATCACTAATTCATATGGCAATATATATATTTTTTTAAAGATTTTATTTATTTATTTGAGAGAGAGAGTGAGAGAGAGAGAGAGCACAAGAGGGAGGAGCGGGAGAGGGAGAAGCAGACTCCCCGCTGAGCAGGGAGCCCGATGCGGGACTCGATCCCTGGACTCCAGGATCATGACCTGAGCCGAAGGCAGTCGCCTAACCAACTGAGCCACCCAGGTGCCCCATATGGCAATATTTATATATAAAACTGTTTTTCTTACATAACTGATCAATTTGGATGCACTGTGATAATGACTTTGTCATAATTTTTTTTTCCTGTAGACATGTGTGGAGTTTATTTAAAGGGAAGAAGAACTGTCTCCTTTTTGATTCTGGCAACCCAAGAACATCCCCTCTTAAGACTTATAGGGGCTAAAATTCACACAAACATTCCCAGATGTTAAGGTTTCAGGTTTTGCTAGTTTCTGCTCACCCTTTATCATCACCTCAGTTAATCCTGATCATGGCTCAGGGGATCACAGAGCACAGTGGTGTCAAAGCACAATCTAATTTACCCAGAGAGCAGCTTATGCCCATAGTCCTTGGCTGACTTATGTTTCGAGTTAATTCCACTCTTTTTACTGAACTGCGTTTTCCCTGGCAGCTCCAGAATGGCTGTCAGTGAGCTTTTTGGTGCCTTGGAAATCTCAGTACTTCTCTATTACTGGTTGTCAGATTGGCTTCAGTCAACAATGCACTATGACTCCCAGGTCTTCTCTTCATCTGTGTTCTAAACGTTCTCCAGTCTTTTCAAGTAGGAGACTCAGCCCAGCACATGGCAAACAGTAAGCATTCTACATGTATTTGTTGAATAAATGAATTGGCTAAAGTGAGCATCTGACAAAAAATGTCTTTCACATGGACAACTGCAGCTCTTACAACTTCCTGCCTTCATCCACCTTCCCTGAGCTTAAGACTGAGTGATGGGCATAGCCAAACTGTGGAAAGAGCCAAGATGTCCATCGACAGATGAATGGATAAAGAAGATGTGGTATATATATACAATGGAATATTATGCAGCCATCAA